TTATGAGAAGCTGTTTTTCATGGCAGAAATACACTCGGAGGTTTGCCATTGCCTGCCGACGGACGACCGCTGTTAAGAAAAAACCTTTTTTCTATACCAGGCTTTGAACCCAGGCGTTGCGGAGTGGAAGCGGGCACTGCTTACCACTACACCACAGCGGCCGACGATTAGAATTTTTTCCGTTAAGTGGGCCAGGGACCGATCTATTTGAAAATAACTTATTTATGATCCGATTTTCTTGAAATTTGGCACGTAGGTAGCTTATTAGCTGGGTTAACATATAGGATATTTTTTCTGAAAGGTGGACCAGATACCGATCGATTCCAAAAAATCTTATTTATGGCCCGATTTGCTTGAAATTCGATACCCGTCTTATAGATACGCGAAGAATAGAATCGAGTCATTGTTTTAAAGTTCGAAAGGTGTTTGAAGGCGGCGCAAACATGGGGTATTGTCTGTTTAACAATACTAATTCACGCACCTTTGCTTGATGGTCACTTATAATCATTTGTTAAACAGGAATAACTGATTTTGGGAAGTTTGAGTTCCTACCGCAATTAAGCAAAGGGTGATAGAACCTTCCACGTAGGCTTAAGTTAAAGCTAGAACTACAGACTACCATCCCTCAAAGTACTATTCCTGAATTTTTTCCTAATGGTCACCTATACTCATTTCCTTTTTGTCGTCAAAAATGGTGTAAAAATCAGTGTTAGCTGTTCAATAAATGACTACAGGTAACCTTAGGGTCAAGGTGCAGGAATGGTATTTTCAGGGATTGAAGTCACAAGTCCGAACCTTAATTTAAGCCTAAGTGAAAGATTCTTCCACCTTTTGTTTCATTGATGGAGCTTATCAAATATTCCAAAAGACGCGATTTTTTGACACTTTCACCAAATTTTTCTCAAATCTGGAGCTGATGAAATCTTTATACTGACGGATTCTTAATCAGCACAAAAAAGCCCATCAAAAACAGCTTTAACATTTGCCGCATTAAAATCGGTGTTGCCCTGTGTTACTTACACTAATTATATAAAGAAAAGCTCCTTCTTTTTATAAGGGGTGATCTCGCGAACGGCTGTACCGATTTTTTGAAATTTTTGACACCTACTGCAGACTTTCGATATATTAAGGGAGCGCGGCATCACCCATACATATCGAATTTTTCATACCGTATATCTCTGGACGTATCTGTGGTAGTGTCCTGGAAATTGGTATAGACATTTTGGGGTCTACTGAGAAAAGGGGACGTGGCACTTTTCAAACATATTAAAACTTTTACCTATCTGTACAGTGTTTTTTTTCTTTTTCATAATAAATTTTTTTGTTAATTTTTTATAGAAATATAGTTTTTTTCCCATCAAATGGCACCAAATTTTGAGTATGCAGTTTTGTAGTTCACTCAATTTCAGTATCATAAAGTTCAAGTTTTTAATTGCTATAAGATGCCGTTGAATTTTGAAATTTGTTTTCGCTGATAATGTTGCGCATTTTCTCAGTAACGTATGCGCGAGAGTTGTTTTGTATGGGAAAAAATGCCGAAGAGTGTCAGTATGTAAAAGACTTATTCTGGTGACTTGACTCCTCCTAAACGACCGAAACGATTTTAATGATAATTTTTAGTGGCGCTGGAGCCGAGTTATTCGGAGGCACCAGGGATCAAAGTCAAATTACTCCCGTTAAATCAACCATCAGAACCATTGCGGTCCTTGCTTTACAGTGACTAAACAGAATGTGGACCAATGATACTCACCAGTTAGAAATTGCCACCAACTATACTATACAGATTCAAGGAGGATTCACCATCGAGCCGCAAGGACTTCTTCCAAGTATAACGCTTTCGTCAGGTTATTTAAGACGGCAGTGGACGATATGCCTTCTGTCGACCACTAAACCAAACGTGAACGCGAATGTTTCAATAAAAAAATTAATTTTGGGCGGGATGAAGTTCGCCGGGTCTGCTAGTATTAAATAAATAATAATAATAATATTAATATACAGTAGATTCGCGGAAAAGATAACTCGCGAAAGAGTTATTCGCTCGGCTAAGTTAACAACTTCAGTGTTCACGTACCTCTCTAAAAAGTTAACTTTTGGGTTACCTTTCCGAGCAATATACATTTTTATAACCAACCATATGTTTGGCAACAAAAACAAGCCTGAGCTCAATTTGTTTACGGGTATTCCCCGAATTTCTTTTTGTCGTGAGCGTTTGAATTTGTGAGTTGCGTATTGTTTTTGTGTTTAAAAAATGTCA